TTTGAAGACATCCTAGGATCTCTCTACAATGTTTTTAAATAGCCTATTTTACTCTGCAGAGGAATTGATATGGCTTAAAGGAAATAAACAGAATAAAATATTGAGTTACAAGCAAAGCATCAGGAAAGGGGGAAAATGTAAAGCAGGAGGAAAAGAACAAACATAACTAAGTTATCTTAACAGATTTCATGAAAAGTTCCCAAGTATCTCAAACAAAACCAATTTGAATTCACTAGAATTACTGCTTAAATAAGCCCAAAATAACATCTACCACTTCTTGAGGATTAACATATGCTGGATGCCTTACATATATCACTATATTTAATTCTCAGAACAACCTGCATTTTACAAATGAGGAGTCTGAGGTTTAGAACAATTTTAACCCACTCAAGGTAAACAGCTGTTAAATAGGCAGATATGAGATTTAAATTTATGTCTGTCTGGCTTCTCAGCCACCACATTCTGCTGCTCACCTTATGTCAGATCCTACTTTATGGAAAAAAAAAAAAGACAGAATATAGTGAGATAAAATAAAGAATAATATGCCAAATTCCCTGAAGTCTAGAAATTACTAACCTATGATATTCAAGAGTAGCAGAAAGAAATCAGGTAGTCTAAAAATAACTATAAATAAGTGGTGTTGATGGTATCATGGTGAGCATAGCTGCCTTCCAATAATAAATATAAATAGCTTTGACTTCCCACCTCAAGGCTCCCCTCTCTCCCATGTCCAATTCCATCCTATGTACCAGAACTTGATTAACCTTCCTCAATTAGCACAGTTTGCATATCGTTTTCTTGCCTAAATCCTTCAGTGGCTCCCTACTGTTTGATCAGGAGCTGGTAATCTTTTCTGTAAAGGGCCAGATAGTAAATATTTTTGCCCATGTGAGGCTTAGGATCTCTGTTTCAATTACTCGAGTTGGCTGTTTGGCACAAAAGCAGCCACAGACAACACATAAATGAATAAGTATGATTGTTCTCCAATAAAAATTTATTTGTGGACACTGAAATTTGAGTTTCATATAAGTTTCATGTGTCACAAAATATTATTCTTCTTTTAATTTTTTCAACCATTTAAAACAGCTTATAGGTCTTTAAAAACATGTGGTGGGCTGGATTTGGCCCACAGGCCATAGTTTGCCAATCCTGGCTTAAGACCGTGTAGCATTTGCCCAAAGCCTGAAAGAAATAGCCAAAATTAGATATTCAGTGAAGATGTCTTCTTTTTTTAAAAAAATCAGTCATTCATTCACCATCTCAGAGAGATAAGAAATGCATGGGGACAGGAAAAGGGAGAAGAAGACCTACTCCCACAAGTTAAACACTTTGATTATTCTGACTGAGTCTGAGGGGAGGGAAGGGTGAGGTTTTCTGGAGTTGAAGATGCTATGACTTTCTCTGCAGGAAGAACTCATTTAACACTGTTTGGATTCCTAGTCTCTTGGGAACTTTATACTAATTAATAAAATCAAATATTTTGATCTAACTTTAACTGCACAACTACAGATAACTTAAGGGAAAAAAATCTATTTCTATCTTGTCTTTTTGTGAAAGGATTTGAAGCAGCCTGTAAAAACAAACAAACAAGAAGCACATACAAAACAACATATGCTAGCATTAAATATTGAGCCAGACAAGTATATGGGTTGGAAAGGAAGAAATAAGTTATTATTTGCAGACGACATGATTGTACATAGAAAATACAAAAGAATTGGGACTTCCCTGGTGGTCCAGTGGTTAAGACTCCACACTTCCACTGCAGGGGGCATGTGTTCGATCCCTGGTTGGGGAAGTAAGATCCCACATGCCATATGGTACGGCCAAAAAAAAAAAAAGAATTTATAGACAAACTATTAGAATCAATAAGTGAATTCAACAACCAAGATGAATACATGGTCAAAAATCAATTTGATTTCCATATATCTGTAATGTATAAGTAGAAAATAAACTTTAAATAACAATACTATTTATGAGAGTATAAAAAATCAAATACCTAGAAATAAATCTAAGAGACATGTAAGACCTCTACACTGAAAACTGTAATACATTTTTTTCAATAAATTAAAGATTCAGATAAATGGAGTGATCCATGTTCATGGATTGGAAGATTCAATATTGTAAATATGTCAACTGTCTGCAAATATGTCAACCTACATATTCAGGGCAATCTCAATCGAAATCACAACAGGTTATCCTGTGGACTTTAGCAAATTAATTCTAAAATGTATATGGAAATGCAAAGATCCAAGAATAGGCAATACAATGTTGAAGAAGAACAAAATTGAAGGACTTACTCAACCAGATGTCTAGACCTATTGAAAAGCTATAGTAACTAAGACATTATGGTAGTGGTACAAGAAGAGACAACAGAAGAGAAGAGAGTCCAGACAGAGAGCCCACCTATATATAGTCACCTGGTATCACAAAGGTAACACTGCAGTGCAGTGGGGAAATAATGGTCTTTTTGATAAATGGTGCTGGGCTAACTGGATATCTACATATGAGGGGAAAAAAGTGTACCTTGACCCCTATCTTATACCATAAACAAAAATCAGTTCCAAATGGATCGTAGATCTAAATGCGAAAGGTAAAACAACATAGCTTTTAGAAAAAAAGCATAGGAGAATATCTTCCTGATGCTGAAATAGGCAAAGATTTCTCAGAGTACAAAAAAGCACTAAGCATAAAAGAGAAATATATGCATAAATTGATTGAATGATTACATTAAGACTAAGAACCTCTGTTCATCTAAAGACACTATTAAGAGTGAAAACACAAGCCACAGAGTCATAGAAGATATCTATTGTGTATATACATACGTATATACACAACAAAAGACACATATTCAGACTATATAATGAACTTATAAAATTAATAAGAATTGATAATTGATAAGAAGGACAGTCAACCCAATAGAAAAATGGGCAAAGGACTTAGTTACTTCACAAAAGAAAATATCCACATGGCCAGTAAACATATGAAAAGGTGTACAATTTTATGGGTCAACAGGGAAATTATAATATTATACTACTACATAGCCACCAGAATGGCTAAAATGAAAACAACAAACAATATTAAGTGTTGGTGAAGATAAGGAGCAACTGTAACTCTCATACACTGTTGATAAGATTATTATTTGGGACAAATGCTATGGAAAACTCTTTGGCAGTACCTGCCACAGCCATACATATATATAAATTATGACCATAATTTCCCTCCGAGGTATATCCCCCACGAAAGTGTGTACGTGTGTTCACCAAAATAGATGTGCTAGAATGTTCTTAGTAGCACTATTTGCAAGAGCTCCAAATTGGAAACTACCCAAAACGCCCAACAACAGTATAAAGAACCATGCTATAGTCATACAAAGGATTATTATACAGCAATGACAACAAATTATAACTACATGCAATAATATGGATGAATTTTATAAACAATACTGAATAAAAGCAGTCCAGACACAAACGAGCACATACTATATGATTCTACTTACACAAAATTCAAAAATCTATGATGTAAAAGAACAGTGGTCATCCTTAAGGGAAAGGTAGTGTCTAGGAGGGGGCATGAGGGGAATTCTGAGAAGCTGGTAATGTTCTGTTTGTTGATCTGGATGATCACACTTAACGAAAATTCATCAAGCTGTATACATTTATGATTTTGGATGTATGCTGTGATTCAATAAAAAGTTCCAAAAAATCAGAGCATATAGAAAACAAAGGTGGAAAGATAAGATGAAACAAAGAGCCAATTTAGTATATGAAAATAAAAATGTATGCTTAATGCTCTAGATATTTGGCAAGAGTAGGGCACAAATGTGTTTCTGCTTAGAGCCAAGGCAAACAGGACAATACAGTTAAAGAATTCAGTGTCCATCGATAAAAACAAGCCAATTATGCTCAGGAAAAACAAAATTATTCTTAGAACTGGAGTCTGAAATTTCTCCTGAGTGTTCTCAGAGAGATGTTGTTTGACAGTGAACCTATGTCCTCAACCACCTCCTTATAGTAGAGGCCTCAGTGAGTGACACAATGACTTTCTCCATAGGCTGATGCCATAAAACCAAAACACAACTCAAGGAGAGTAATCTGGGGTCAAGAAGTAGGATGGGGAGAGAAAAACACTACAGTGTAGGTGTACTACAATCTGATGGTCTGGAGAGATGTACAAGAATGAATGGTCTACATATCATCCAGGCTCTCTCCCTTAAATAGTGTTTCTCTAAAGCAAGCTTTTGATAAGCACTGCCTGACAGTGAGTTCAAGGTCACACTCGCTAAGACAGGTACCCACAGTCCAGCTATTGGAATATGTCATTAAAACACTGGGGAATGGAGAACAGGAGATACAGCAATTCATTGGAACAGTCAGTGGAATGAGAGTTGGACGGATAGCCTCTAAAAGGCTATCAAGGGAAGTTGATATGCAGAGTAACTATTATATTATTATTCGTGTTTCTATCACAAATACAAGAAAGAAGATCTGGTTTTCCCCACAGCATGTTTTAAGCCAGAAACTCTATAACCTACCCTCCTGAAACAGATCCAATATTGTAGCCACCCTCCTCAAAAATTTTTAGTGGCTACCTATGCCTACTGGATAAACTTCAAAGTTATCAGCATGGATATGATATCAAGCCCTTTATGTGGGCTAATTCTGCCTTCCCAGTCTCATCTATTATCTCTTGCTACACACCCTATGATCCACTCACCACATCTCACCACTCAGTGGTTTCCAAACATGCCATAGAGTCTCAGACCTCCTCTTGCTTTTGCCTATGTTCTTCAGGACCTGGTAGTTTCTTGTAGGAAAAGAAGAAATCAGGTGTCCAGAGTTTGTGGCAATGCCCTCTTGTGTCTGGCACCTTAATGCTTCTGTAACAGGATTATTTAACTGTCTCTATGATTCCTGCTTCCTATAAACTCACCCTCAGCCTCCATGTCACAGGACTTAGCCCTATCCCTGTGAGCCTGTGTGTGGGGTTAGTGAATCACTTACCCTACAATATGGCTCCTTCTTTTTTATGTCCTCTTGCTGGATCAGCCTCAGGTCCTGGACACCATTCTGCAGGCCTCTCTCATACAGGGCCTTAAGTCTGGGAATTTCTTCTTGTTCAACAGCTACTATAAGCTTAAAAAGAAAAAAGATAAAGAACATGAATAGAGTTAAATATATCATCAGCTATGATAGATAAAATCAACAGAAAATCATAAATTAGTGTATGATTCAAATTGGGTTGATTTTTTTAAACTGTTTTTGCTTCATGTATCTACTTCTCCCTTTCTTCATGACTTCACTTTCTTCCTCCACCAAAAAATTTGTCTTAAGACTGCATTAAAACAAAGGTGAGATGTAGCCTCAATTGTCGCATCTGCTATGACAGTTGCTACATGCACCTTGGCCAGAAGTATCGCCATCACTCCCTCAATCCCAGAGGGGAAAGAAGCACAGGTTGCTTAGTCTTTACATTAAAAACCAAACAAAAAACAAAAGCGAAACAAAACTAAACAAAAACCAGTACATCAGAAAGACAGGCAATATTCAGTATAATGGAATATCGCTAAGAGAAAACTATTTTATTTTTTTGGAATAAAGTACATTTCAAAGTATTTACTAATGCATTCTGTTGCAGAGGAGAAAAACAGAAAATTCATCAAGACTCTTTTTCTGTTTATTTCTGGGCAAAGTATCTGTTTGAGGTAGTTTCTTACTTAACAGCTACCAGCAAAGGAAAGCACAGATGATATTCACAAGTACATCAGAATTCAAAAATCACTATTTCATAGCAAGGAGTCAACTGAACTCCATAAAGTAATACTTTTAATCAAGGTGTAAAGGTTATTTAAATCAACAAATAATTAACCTTAAAAATATACGTGGAATCATAGGGAACTATCAAGAAAGTGAAAAGATAACCCACTGAATGGGAGAAAATACTTGTAAATCATTATCACTGATAAGGCTCTAATATGCAGAATATATAAAGAACTCTTTAGAAACTCTGTACAAACTTCCAAATATAAAATAAACAAGTCATAGGGATGTAATGTACAGCATGGTGACTATAGTTAATAATTGTGTATTGCATATTTGAAAGTTGCTAAGAAAATAGATCTTAAAAGTCCTCATCACAAGAAAAAAAATACTTTTTCTTACTGTGAATGGTGACAGATGTTAACTAGACTTATGGTGGTGATCATTTCACAATACATACACATGAAACTAATAATAAATAATATTATATGTTAATCATACCTCAATTTAAAGAAATAAAAGGACTTCAAACTTGAAAAAAAAAAAAAAGAAGTTGGGGAGGGGCAGACACTCAGAGGCACAAATCAGTGACTGAACCAGGAAAACTCTGAAATCAGGTCATTAAGTCACATTGACACCGTTGTGGCCTGGAAGCAGCAATCTGTAAATTAACACCTGGAGCTGAGCTGAGATGGATTAGAAGCAATGATGTGATTTGATGTGAAGAGGGAATATGAAGTAGTGTTCAAGGCTCCAGAAGGAAGTAGGGGTTACAGAGCTCAAGATCATCCTATGGGTAGGCATGGGGCATGGTATGTTTCTCAATGGTGGATGTTATGGATGTTGTCTGGTTCCTTTGGCTTAAAGGATTTAAAAAAAAAACAAAAAGAACCCTCATAACTCAACCATAAAAACTGTAAATACAGTTTTATATCTTGCTTTTTTTACTTAACACTATATCAGGACCATTTTCCCACATCATTAAAAAAAAATATTCATAGCATCTTTAATGGTGACAATGAACTTTTATTCTTAAAAATTACATGAAGAAGAGTTATAAGGAAATATTATGAACAGCTGTATGCAACAAATTAGATAATCTATATGAAATGGGAAAATTCTTAAAAAGACACAAACTTCTGAAACTGACTCAAGGAGAAAAAGAGTATCTGAATAGACCCATAACAAGAAATGGAATTAGTAACTGTAAAGGCTCAGGCCTCATGAATGCTACCAAATGTTTAAAGAAGAATTAATACCAATTCTTCATAAACTCTTCCAAAAAACAGAAGAGAAGGGAACACTTCCTAATTCTATAAGGCCAGTTAACACTCAAACGAGACACAGATATCAAAAGAAAACAAACCTGCATATCAATATCCCTTATGAGTATTGATATAAAAATTCTGAACAAAATACTAGTATATTGAGTGCAGCGACATATAAAAAGGATTATATACCATGACCAGGTGGGATTCATTGCATGAATGCAAGATCTATTTAACATCCAAAAGTCAATTAATGTAATAAATTCATATTAATAGAATAAAGGACAAAACCACATGACTGCCTCAAGAGACATAGAAAAGGCATTTGAGAAAATACAACACCTATTCATGATTAAAATCAACAAACTGCAGGTAAAAAGGAACTTCCTCAGTCTGATAAAGGGCATCCACAAAAAACCCACAGCTATCATTATACTTAATAGTGAAAGACTGAATACTTTCTCCCTAAAATCAAGAACAACACAAAGATACCCACTTTCACTACTTTTATTCAACATTGTATTAGAGATTCTACCCAGGTAAATTAGGCAAGAAAAAAAGTAAAACTATCTTATTTGCAGATGACATGATCCTGCATATAGAAAATCCTAAGGAATCCACACACACACACACACGAAAAACTATTAGACTAAAAAACGAGTTCACCAAAGTTGAAGGATAAAGATCGATACACAAAAATCAATCATATTCTATACATTAGTAATGAATAAACCAAACTGAAATTAAGAAAACAATTCCCCTCACAAAAGCATCAGAAAGAATAAAATATCAAGGAATAAAATTACAAAAGAAGTGCAAGACCTGTAAAATGAAAAATGTTTTAAAATTGTTGAAAGAAATTAAAGAAGATCTAAATAAGCGGGAAGACATCCCAAGTTCATGGTTTGCAAAATTTAATATTGTTAAGATGGCAATACTCCCCAAACTGATCTATAGATTCAATATAATCGCTCGCTAACAAAAATCCCAGCTGCCTTTTTTGGAGAAACTGACAAACTGACCCTAAAATTCATATGGAAATGCAAGGGACCCAGAACAGCCAAAACACTCTTGAAAAACAACAAAGTTGGAGGACTCACACTTACTGATTTCAAAAAATAAAGAGCTACAGTAAACAAGATAGTGTGGTACTGGCATAACGATAGACACACATCAATGGAATGGAATTGAGAATCCTAAACAAACCTTCTTACACTTATGCTCAACTGATTTTTGATACAGGTGCCAAAACAATGTACAAAGAATAGTTTTTTCAACAAATGGTGCTGAGACAACTGGATATCCACATGCAAAAGAATGAAGTTGGAACTCTTCCTCACACCATATACCAAAATTAATTAAAAAGTGAACCTAGGGCTTCCTTGGTGGCGCAGTGGTTGAGAGTCCACCTGCCGATGCAGGGGACACGGGTTCGTGCCCCGGTCCGGGAGGATCCCACATGCCGTGGAGCGGCTGGGCCCGTGAGCCATGGCCGCTGAGCCTGCGCGTCCGGAGCCTTGTGCCCGCAAAAGGAGAGGCCAAAACAGTGAGAGGCCCGCAAACCGAAAAAAAAAAAAAAAAGTGAACCTACGCTGGAGGAATACGTGTAGGGATAGAAGCTCTGCTTCTTGTGGTGGGGTCTGGTGAAGGGGCAGTAGGCCATCTGAAAAGGTGGTAAGAAGCACCTGAAGCAGCCCAAGAAGCAGGCCAAGAAGTTGGATGAGGATGATAAGGCATTCAAGCAGAAACAAAAAGAGAAGCAAAAGAAACTTGAGGCTGCAAGGAAGGCCCTCCTGGGGACAGTTGGAATTAAGAAATCTGTCAAAAAGTAAGCTGTTCCTTGTGCCAGAGGCAATGGTGATCCTTAATTCCATTCCTGTTTAAATAACTGGATTCCCTGCCATAACATCTGTTGCCACCTATAGTTAGAATGAAGTGCTGTCTTGAAACCTGCTATAAATTTAAGAACAAACTTTTGTTAAAGTCTAAAAAAATGAAATCATACAGTGGTTCATCTTCTCTTTAGTTCTTCTCATTCGGCCATTTCTACCTTAGCTGTGAGGTCAGAGTAAACCCAGCCCAGAATCCTGCCAAAGTCTGTTCTTCAGTCTTTGTTCTAGCTCCAATTCTATAACACTCAGAATTAAACCAACTCATTTGGGGGAAAAAAACTATCACAGATCTAAACATCAGAGCTAAGGTTTTGACATTAGAAGAAAATGTAGGAGCACTTTTTCATGATCTAAAGTTAGGCAATGATTTCTTAGATATGACACTAAAAGTATAAGCAATAAAAGAAAAGAAAAGATAAACTAGACTTCATCAAAATTGAAAGTTTCTGTGCTTCAAAGGATACCATCAAGAAGTAAAAAAGAAAATCTACAGAATGGGAGAAAATATTTAGTAATATTTAAAATATCATCATTACTATTGCTATTATTTTATTTAAAAATATATATATTTTAATATTTTAGTAGTATTTTAGTAAATATCATATAGCTGATAAGGGATATTTATATATCCAGAATATATAAATAACACATACAAATCAACAATAAAAAGACAAAGAACTCAATTTTAAAATGAGCAAAAGATTTGAATAGATATTTCTCCAAAGAAGATAAATGAATGGCCAATAAGTATATGAAAAGATGCTTAACATCATTAATTACTATGTTTAATTACATAAAAACCACAATGATATAGCACTTCACATCCTCTAGGATAGCTAAAATGAAACAGACAATAACAGGTGTTCATGAGGATGTGAGGATATTGGAATCCTCGTTAACTGCTGATGGGGATGTAAAATAGTACAGCACTTTGGAAAACAGTTTCACACTTCCTCAAAATGTTAAACATGTAGTTACCATATGACCCAGCAACTCCACTCATAGGTATATACCTGACAGAAATGAAAACATAGGTCCATACAAAAACTTGTACCTAAATGTCCATAGCAGCATTATTCATAGTAGCCAAAAAGTGGAAACAACCCAAATGTCCATCAACTGATAACTGGATAAACAAAATGTGGTATACCAATACAATGGGGTATAAGGAGGAATGAAGTACTGATTCATGCCACAAGATGAACGAACCTTGAAAACACTATGCCAAGTGAAAGAAGCCAATCACAAAAGACAACATATTGTATGATCCCATTTATATGAAACATCTAGATTTTGCAAATTACATGGATACAGAGAAAGAAAAGCCAGGCATTTTTTAAATCAACATTTAAGATTACTAAGTAAATGCTATTTATAAATAAGTCAAGGCCCTAGTAAAATGCCATACCTTGCCACATTGCTTGTAGGAAATTCCCTTTTGGTTACAGTACTCATAGATGAGGGCTGCGCCTTGTACACATAACTTAGCTTTCAGGGATTCAGGTTTATAATAAATTCCACTATGTATGACACCACTGTTATGTCCAGTCTGATGAATAGCTATGGAACAAGAGAAACAGGTGAAGAGAAACTACATGACTCATTCAAAACTTAAGAAGTGGGGGAATACACTTACAGTTGAAGCTATTAGAGACCACTATTTAAAATTCTGTCTGAGTTTGTTCTTATAGTCAGAGCACTTCTAGCATCCCGTAGCAGCCAACCATGGTGTCTGTGTCACATCCCTCCAGCCCATCTCTGACTTCCACTACAACTTTGGTGCACAAACCGCCCCCCTCACCACCAGCAAACCACTTCAAGGGTCCACTACAGCTCTCTGCCTTCTGCTCCAGGGCCTTTTCTAATATTTGGGGGCACAGGGACTCAACGCCCTATGGACAATCCTCAACCAAAGGGACAGAAGCTGATGGATAAATGAGCACAATCCTGGGAAACATTAGGTAGCTCCTCGGGGGTCTCAGTGGAATTAAGCTCACAGCTGCAACCTAAATAACGCACCCTCACAAAGTTTTTCCTCCTTCCCTGTTTACTCTCCCCACCTCCTCACTCCTGCCTCCTCGAATAACCTTGAAAAAAATCACCTACACCCAAATCCTAGTCCTAGGCTCTGCTTTCTAAAGAACCCAAACTGGGACACTAACATCGACATTCAGCATGAAAGATGTAGAACTGACAAAATGAGCAGGTGCTCAGGTTAAGCAACACTGAGAACATACATACCTAAATCTTTCTCCTTTTCCAGAACACCAATGGAAAGAGCTGGATGTCGCAGGATGAGTGCTCTGGCAGAGGCAAGCCCCACAATTCCGCCACCAATAATGACTACATCAAATGAGCTTTAAGAGAAAGCCACCTTTAAAGTAATGCATGTTTACAATAGACTTTATCAAACTTGACAGTTTCATCATCAACTGACAAAGTATTAATTAGTAATCATTAAAATCAAATGTTTATTGGGCTTTGTGACATTTGGCTTTATACTAACAAAGAAACCTTTAAAAGTCACATGCATGTATAATCAGCTACAGCCAGCAGGCAGAGTGGCTAGTTGCCCAAGCTGCTCTAAGTCTCTGTAATACTCTGCCCAACCTGGCTACATCAGTGGTTACTCTGTTAACTATCACACTCTCTCCTCTACCATCTATTCGTTAAAAATTCAGGTGCAATATGCTTGAGGATAAGTTAACATTAAGTCTTTAACACCTAGTGTACAAAAATTTATAATTTTTTATTCTGCTGAGAAGGAAACAGTCAGTGAGAACATCACACTTAAGGAAATAAGTGGTCCAGAAACAGGCTCAGAACCAGTTTTAGCCATAACTCTGATTATATAATCATTTAAAAAATTAGAAAGGGTATGTATAGTCTATCTAAATCTAAAATGAGAAGCTTAAAAGATTACCGTAAGCACTGATCTCATGGTCAACAAATCTAGGTTTTACAGGAACGTGACCTATCTTGCTTCTTCACCCCATTTATTTTTTTTTCACCCCCTCCTGCATTATATTATTTCGATCTAAATCTTAAACATGATCTGTAAATATTTCAATATGTTATTTCTAAAATGGCTCTTTAAAAACACACACACAGGGCTTCCCTGGTGGCGCAGTGGTTGAGAGTCCGCCTGCCGATGCGGGGGACACGAGTTCGTACCCCGGTCCAGGAAGATCCCACATGCCGTGGAGCGGCTGGGCCCGTGAGCCATGGCCGCTGAGCCTGCGCGTCCGGAGCCTGTGCTCCGCAACGGGAGAGACCGCAACAGTGAGAGGCCCGCGTAACGCAAAAAAAAAACAAAACAAAAAAACACACACACACAATGTCATTATTCTAACCAAAAAGTTCAGTTTTTAAATATCATCAAATATTCACAATAAAACTTTTAGAAGAAAACATAGGAGAAAATCTTTGGTATCTAGGGCTACTTGAAGAGTTCACACCAAAACCATGACCCATAAAAGAAAAAAAAATGATAAACTGGACTTCATCAAAATTAAAAACTTTTGCTCTGCAAAAGACTCTGTTAAGAGGATAAGAAGACAATGAACAAACTGGGAGAAAACACTTGCAAACCATATGTCTGACAAAGGACACATTTCTCAAATATATATTAAGAACTCTAAAACAAGTCAAGACTTCGCTGGTGGCTCAGTGGTTAAGAATCCACCTGCTAATGCAGGGGCTATGGGTTCGAGCCCTGGTCCGGGAAGATCCCACATGCTGCAGAGCAACTAAAGCTGTGCACCACAACTACTGAGCCTGCACTCTAGAGCCCGCGAGCCACAACTACTGAGCCCGCGTGCGACAACTACTGAAGCCCGCATGCCTAGAGCCCGTGCTCTGCAACAAGAGAAGCCACTGCAATGAGAAGCCCGCACACCACAATGAAGAGTAGGCCCTGCTCTCTGCAACTAGAGAAAGCCCGCGCACAGCAACAAAGACCCAACGCAGCCATAAATAAATAAATAAATAAATTTATTAAAAGAAACAAGTCATTTAGAGAATAGGCAAAAGATATGAACAAACATTTCATCAAAGAGGGCAGATATATAGATGTCAAAGAAGTACATGAAAATATGTTCAATGCCTTTAGTCATCAGGAAAATGCAAACTAAAACTACAATGAGACATCACTACACCCCTATCACAATGGCTTTTTTTTTTAAAAAATTATAACAACAAACGCTGGTGAGGATGAGAGGAACTGGATCAACTCACACGTTACCGGTAGGAATGTAAAATAGTACAGCCACTCTGGAAAAACAGTATGGCAGTTTCTTAAAAAACTAAACATGTGCTTACTACATGTCTTAGCAACTGCACTCTTTGGCATTTATCCCAGAGAAATGAAAACTTACGTTCCTACAAAAATCTGTACATAAGTGTTCATAGCAGCTTTATTCATAATAGCCAAAAACTGAAACAGCCCAGATACCATTCAACTGGGGAGTGGTTAAACAAACTGCAATACATCCATATCATAGACTGCTACTCAACAATTAAATGGAACCCACTATCAACACAGGCAACACCTTAGATAGATCACAAGGACATTATGCTGCATGAAAAAAGCCAATCTCAAAGGGTTACATACTGTGTGATTCCACTTATATAACATTTTCAAAATGACAAAATTATAGAGCTGAAAAATAGATTCATGGTTGCCAAAGGTTAGAAAGGGTGGAGAAATGGGATGTGAATATAAAGGGGTAGGTAACACAATCTCTGTATTGATGGAACATTTCTGTTTCTTAATTGTGGTGGCAGTTACACAAATTAACACATGCAGTTAAATTGCATAGTAACACACACAAAAATGAGTGCATGTAATAGCAAACGAAATCATAAACAAAATGAAAAGACAATCCACAGAATGGGAGAAAATATTTGTAAATGATGCAACCAACAAGGGATTAGTCTCCAAAATTTACAAACAGCTCACGTGACTCAATATCAAAAAAACAAACAACTCAATCAAAAATTGGGCAGAAGAGCTAAATAGACATTTCTCCAAAGGAGACATACAGATGGCCAACAGGCACAAGAAAAGATGCTCAACATCGCTAATTATTAGAGAAATGCAAATCAAAACTACAATGAGATATCACCTCACACCAGTCAGAATGGGCATCCTCAAAAAATCTACAAACAATAACTGCTGGAGAGGGTGTGGAGAAGAGGGAACCTTCTTGCACTGTTCGTGGGAATATAATTTGGTACAGCCACTATGGAGAACAGTGTGGAGGTTCCTTGAAAAACTAAAATAGAACTACCATATAACCCAGCAATCCCACTACTGGGCATGTATCCGGAGAAAAACATGGTTCAAAAGAATACATGCACCCCAATGTTCATTGCAGCGCTGTTTACAATAGCGAGACATGGAAGCAACCTAAATGTCCATCGACAGATGAATGGATAAAGATGTGGTACATATATAAAATGAAATACTACTCAGCCATTAAGAAGAATGAAATAATGTCATCTGCAGCAACATGGATGGACCTGGAGATTATCATACTAAGTGAAGTAAATCAGACAGAGAAAGACAAATATCATATGATATTGCTTATATACAGAATCTAAAAGAATGATACAAATGAACTTATTTACAAAGTAGAAACAGACTCACAGACTTAGAGAACAAACTTATGGTTACCAGGGGGCAGGGTCGGGGGAGGGAGGGAGTTTGGAATTGACATGTACACACCGCTACATTTAAAACAGATAACCAACAAGGACCTTCTGTATAGTACCGGGAACATTGCTTAATATTCTGTAATAAGCTAAATGGGAAAAGAATTTGAAAAAGAATAGATACATGTATATGTATAACTGAATCACTTTGCTGTACACCTGAAACTAACACAACATTGTTAGTCAACTATGCTCCAGTATAAAATATAAATTAAAAAAAACATGAATTCACTTGAAATCAGATTTCTAAATTGTGACACTGAAATCAAGAAGTCAATGGAGCATTATTTTCAAGGAGAAAAAAAGGACTCCTAACCTAGAGTTAAACTATCTCTTTTATTTTTTTTTAAATTTATTATTTAGTTTTTTTTTATTTTTGGCTGTCTTAGGTCTTCGTTGCTACACACGGGCCTTCTCTAGTTGCGTTGAGCGGGGGCTACCCTTTGTTGCGGTGTGCGGGCTTCTCATTGTCGTGGCTTCTCTTGTTGTGCAGCACGGGTTCTAGGCGTGTGGGCTTCAGTAGTTGTGGCACATGGGCTTAGCTGCTCCACGGCATGTGGGATCTTCCGTGCCAGGGCTCAAACCCATGTCCCCTGCATTGGCAGGTGGATTCTTAACCACTGCACCACCAGGGAAGCCCAAACTATCCCATTTAAATATGAGGATTCAATAAAGATATTCTTGGGTAAACAAGGCTACAGGAACTTTAACATGCAAGAGACACTCCTAAAAATACTCCTGGACCAAAAATTAATGAGTTAACAACTCAAGAAGTTAAATATAATAAAGAAAAACAAACATATATAAACATGTATATATAATATATAAAACATATATATAACAAAATATAATAAAGAAGAAAAATCTTTTATTTGAAAAGATTTATAATGTAGACAAACCTCTGGCAAGAGTAATGGGGGAAAAAGTGAGATGACACAAATAAATAAAACAGAATAATAAAGAAAAAATACGTAAAGACACAACAAGGATCTTAAACATAATCAAAGAGTATCATGGAGATCTATATGCTAATAAATTTGATAACATAGATGAAACGGGGTGGGGGACTCCTCAGGCAAAATTACTGAGGCATAAAGAAATAGAAATTTTGAATCAATCACTATAAATTAAAATAGTCATCAAAAGCTTTCTACCTAAACACACACACACATACATTTTACCAGACTTTCAAGGAACGCATAATCTCTATCATCAAAGATATTCCAGAAAAATTTAAAGGGTTGAGAACTCCCTAACTCATTTTATGAAGCACATACAAACCAGGTTCCAAAACTGGATAAGAAGTACAAAGAAGCATCTTCTATACCAGTAAGATCCAACTGAAAGAATAAGATACTATTTACAATAGCAACAAAGCAATAAGGGAATCAAAGAATTAACCTAAGAAAAAAGAACTTCACAGAGAAAAATTTTAAACTCCATTAAATAACAAATGAGGGACTTCCCTGGTGGCGCAGTGGTTAATAATCCGCCTGCCAATGCAGGGGACACGGGTTCCAGCCCTGGTCCAGGAAGATCCCACATGCCGCGGAGCAACTAAGCCCGTGCACCACAACTACTGAAGCCCGCGGGCCTAGAGCCCGTGCTCCGCAACAAGAGAAGCCACCGCAATGAGAAGCCCGCGCACCACAACAGAGAGTAGCTCCTGCTCTCCGCACCTAGAGAAAGCCCCTGCGCAGCAATGAAGACCCAATGCAGCCAAAATATCAACAAATAAATAAACTTTAAGTAACAAATGAGTATGCATAAATGAAAAGATATGCCAAGTTCATGGATGGGAAAACTCAAAATTATAAAGAAGTAAATCTCCCCCAAATCTATCTACCTAATTTCAATAACATTTTCAAAATAATATTTTAAGATACTAAATGTTATATAGAATAAAGGTCTATAAGTAGTTAAGCAATTTAAAAAAAACAAACAAGTGCAAAACTTCTAAAACTGATGAAAATCTGAATAAGGCCGGTGGATTGTGCTAATGTCAATTTCCTGGTTTTGATACTGTTATTACAGTTATGTAAGGTGTTGCTGGGGTAAATTGGGTGAAGAAGGGTACATGAGAGCTCTCTGTTCTTTTGCAACTTCCTATGGATCTATAATCATTTCAAAATAAAAAGTATAAAAAGAAAAAATAAAAATAAAAAGTATAAACAAAACCTTCACTAACCTTACCTTTCTTCCCTTAAAAAAAGGTTCCCAAAAGAGCTGTCTACAAACTCCCACGATGAATCACAAATCCTATCCCACTCTAATCCCCCTCCAATCCACTAATACACAGCAGCCAGAATCAACTTCAGAAACATCAACATTTAATCACTTCTTTAAAACCCTTTAAAAGCCTCCCAGCGCTCTTAGAATAAAATTTCACGTGTATTTAAAAAAAAAACTGTGCTGCGATGTAGCCCCTCTCCGATGTCATTCCACACCATCTCTGCTCCGCTAAGCTCTAGTCACACTCATCTTGCCCACATTCTAGTTCCCGAAACAGCCAAGACCTTTCCAGCTTTGAAACCTTCGCATAAACCATTCCCTCTACAGAGAGCAGAGAAAAACAGTAGTGGCGAATGTGGTCTCCAAACTTCAAATCACAGGGCGCTGAATTCTGCAGGGTTTAATTAGCAACTAACTGAGCTGCTTCTCACAGGGGCAACTCTATGCAGCACGCGTGTGCCAGGAACTGATTGATATAAGACTGGTTTTAGATCTTCCAAGTAACATCAGGAAGGCCAGCGAATAAACAGCATATTTGATTGCTTACAGTGTGTTAGGTACTTTAATCCTCAAAACGACCACTTAACGCGAGAGACTAGGATCCTATTCACAACTGAGCTTTTAAGGAGCTTAACTAACCCGCCCAGAGTTGAATAGGAAGTGGTGGGGTTGTATTCAGAGCCAGAACTGTTCTTGACCTCTACTCAACACTGCCTTTCTTATTCTTTTCCTCTCGCCCACAAACCTACAGATGATCCAGGCAGGTAGCTCCTGGCATCATAGGTTGGAGCCCGGGATTCACAGGATCCCGACCCTCTCCCACGCCGAGGACAGGGAAGTAGCGCAGGGGCAGAGGTCCAGCACGAGGCACCTCTGAGAGAAGCAGCGCAGACCGCGGGGGGTCGGGCCAGCGGCTACTCACCTGGTGCTGGCTCTGCGGCCACCTTGGCACAACAGCCAGGGCTTCCCCGGCGCGGGCGTGCACGCCGCGGAGAAGCCCCCGGGAAACCCCCCGCGGGCCAGTCCGCAGACACTGCCTAGGTAACGTAGCGCTGGCACCATCGCCTGCGCCTCCTCCCCTGCCTCAAGCCCCAGGAGCCGGCCCTTGAGCCCTACACTGCCCAGGTCCAGGCGCTCTCTAGCCCCGCCCCCAGGCAGAGGCCAATGAGGGGCGCTCTTTCGCCCCACGTGAGAGCAGCCGCCAGTGGCCAATGGACTCGCGCGGCGGAGGGCGAAGGGCAAGCCGGCGCCGCCGTAGACGCTGAGGACGCTAGCTCGCTCCCTCCTTTTGACGCTGTGAGTAGAGGAGCTAGGCCCCGGGTGGGGCGGGTCTAGGGTGGTGGTTACCCTCCGCCCTTTCCCTTCTCCCATCGCTAGGCTGACTGAAAATCTGGCCCACCGAGTCGGGCGTCCTCGATCTTCACCGCCGAGCGGACTCGGGGCCGCGGAAGAAAGTCGGGATGATTATGGTGAAAACTGTCGTTTGGGCAAGCCCAGCGGCCTCCCTTCCTCCCGCCAGGCCCCGCCCCTCTCGACCCCGCCCCGCGTCACTCGAGGCTCCGTCCCTCTCAACCCCGCCCCCCTCAGCCCCGCCCCGCGTCACTCGAGGCTCCTTTCAGGGCACCGCGTTCTCCAACCCGGCTCCCACCCAGTGGAGTGGCCACTGGAGGGGCGTTCGCTGTCCAGCCCTAGCCCTCTCCGGACGGAGGCTCTGTCATGGCAACGCCTGATAGCCTGCAGTCTTCTGGACTTCCATATATGTGGCTCCTGACGTGCCATTCATTCATTTATTGGTCCTGTAAATATTGAGCACCTAAGTGAACCAGACGTCTCGGTCTCTGACATCATTTAGCAATCTATTTCCTTTTTTAAAAAATCCTGGACCGAGATATACTTTTAAATATGCTGTGCGGGCCTGGGAACAGCGACTCACCTGTGCAGGTCACTTCACCCCTGTTTATCTGTAAAATGAGGGAAGTGGACCATGTAATGTATGAAAAACCTGTGTTAAATTACGTGATCCTTTATCACCATGCCTGTTTAACTAACATTTGTTCTCTCTGCTTGATGGAAGTTTTTTAATTTCCTTATTCTTGCCTGTGTGAATTTGGCTCCAGTTATTAGTCGGGTAGCTTGGGGAAGTCACTTCACCTCTTTGCCTCAGACCCTTCTCTGTGAACTAGGAGTAATAGCAGGATCTCCTTCATGTGGATTACACGAGATAAGGCTCATCAGATGTTAGCACAGTGAAGTGCTCGATAAAATGATGGCTTTTATTATGTTTATATGGTTTTATCAGCTGGACAGTTGTACATATTTTCTTTATTTGCGAAAATAATGTGGAATGTTGCCTGCTTGTTCATCACAAATGAAAAAAATAAGAAATGGTTATTTTTTTAGTTCAACTTTTTAGTTTTAAGCTAATCGTAGATTCCCATGCAGTTGTAAGAAACAGTAGAGATCCTGTGTACCCTTTACCCAGTCTTCCCCAATGGTAACATCTCGTAAAAGGACAGAACAATAACTCAACCAGGAAATTGACATTGACACAGCCCATGGATCTTATTGAGATAACCGCAGTTTTACCTTTGTGCATGTATTTAGGTCTGTATAGTTTTTATCACATGTGTAGGTTTGGTTTGGTTTTGTTTGGCCGCGCCGTCAGGCTTTTGGGATCTTAGTGCCCCGACCAGGGATTGAACCCCAGCCCTTGTCAGTGAGAGCTCAGAGTCCTAACCACTGGACCACCAGGGAATTCCCCATGTGTAGATTCTTGTATCCACCACGGGCAAGCTACAGCACAGTTCCATCACCACCAGGATCCCTCGGTTGTCCTTTTATAACTACACTTCTCTCCTGCAGGGCACCCTCTTCCCTGTTCTAGTCTCCCTTTCTAAAATTTTGTCATGCCAAGAATGTTACATAAGCAGAATTATACAGTATGTAATTTTCTGGAATTAGCTTTTTCACTCAGCATAATCCCTTGAGATCCATCCAAATTGTTGCATGTATTGATAGTTCATTCTAATTGCTGAGAAGTATTTCATGGTATGGATGTACCACAGCATGTTTAACCATTCACCCATTGAAGGACATCTGAGTTACTTTTAGTTTTTAGCTATTTCAAATAAAGCTGCTATGAAAATTAGTGTACAGCTTTTTGTGCGAGCCTGTTTTTGTTTTTCTGGGATAAATGCCCAAGAGTCCAATTTCTGGGTCATATGATAAGCACATGTTTACTTTTGTAAGAAACTGCCAAACTGTTTTCCAAAGTGGCTGGACCATTTTACATTCCCACCAGCAGTGTTGAGTGATCCAGTTCAGTTCCTCTTCAGTGTCACCAACTTTTGGCACTATCACTATTTTTTATTTTAACCATTGCATGGGATGTTGTTGATTTGTTACTAGGTTGAGTACAGAATTATACAGTTCTAGGGTCTGTGGTCAGGCTTTCATGGGTCAGCCCAGAATAGTGACTTTTTTACTACTCTGTGATTTTGAGCACGTGCTTCTTAGTTTAGCAAAGTGAAAGAACTCAAAATACACATGCTCTTTTTGTAAAATTTTCTCTGCTTACCTTCTCCCCTAGGCTTGACTGTACATTAATTTGTTTCATTTAGATAATCTCACATCAAGAGCTCACCTTCCATTCATTCACCCTGTAATGTCTTTGGCTAGAGACATTTGTGTTCTAGCCACCACCCTCCTCAGCTAAGAATTCGTGTTCATCTTCCATCTAGGTCAGAACCTATGTGAAATTAGCTCAATGAGTGTCAAGCAATATTAGCCTAAGAGTGGCTTTTGGAAACTTTGCTTCTCATTCCTAAGCAATTGCTCTGCTGTTCTCTTTCACTAGACTCTAGACACCTCAGGAATAAGAATTGGCATCAATAATGGATGAATTTGCAGTGAAGTGGGGTTATAATTTGGGGAGTAAAAACGCCCCAGTTCTGACACCACCCACCCCTCTCTTCACACTTTTACTGCCCTCAAGAACGAGTTGGCTAGTTCAGTCTTTTTGACCACTAAAATAGCCAACGTTTTGAATAGCCCACCTAAGTAATTATGTCTCATATGTAAGAAAAGAACTTCCATTTTTTAAAAAAAACTTGTTTATATGCAAATTGGGGGACTCTCCATATCCTATTTTGAGTCACACATTAGAGGTCTGGTCTTCTCTAAGTCGTGAACATATAGCAACTTTTAGAAACATCTGTTACAAACTTATGGCTCTAAGCTGTGTTATGATAGTAAGAAGAATTTTTAAAACAATTTTAATTCCTAAATTATTTATCACAGCGGTAATTTAGTAGTGGTTATTTTTTAACTTGCATTTCACTTGTTTAATTTATTAAAGCTAAATTCATCAACTCACCACCAGAGGTCTCCTCTTTCCCTCTAGAAAGCATTCTCAGAGGTAGCTGCTTGAATTCATGTGAAATTCCTAATATCAATTAACAAAGTAGCAGTTGAGAATGCAAAAACCTACCAATTAGTTTTTTTAATTTATTGCTAAATAAAAACTTAATTTTAATGTTTAAATTATTTTAAATATAATATCTAATATTTTTAGAGATCATAAGCTGAAGTAAATTTGGTTTAATCTTTCCCTTAAGCAGAAATACAAGGTGGGCCAAAATGAATCAAGTGAAAGTACTTCAATTTTCACAAACCTCTCTAATTTACCCACTTAAAGAGTTTCCTTGGTTTCTGCGTGAAAATGTATCACCCATTGAAGATTATTAATTGCCAAATATTTATTAAACTTGCATTAGGGAATGGTGCTGTGCTAGGTGCTAAGAAAAATGGAATGAGTAATATGTGATTCTTGTTCTTTCTTTTGCCCTTCATACTTTTCTTTTTTCTGTCTAACTGGAAACTCTTAATCATCCTTTGAGACCCATCTCAGAAGACACCGCTAGTATGAAGCCTATCCCTCACTCCCTTCTCTAAGCTCTCACAGAACTTGTCCATACCTCCATTAAGACATCGTGTTGCATGTTATTCATTTGTTTATATGTCATCTATACATATATGGTATATATACTACACATTCTATGAGGACAGGAACCATGTTTTTCTCGGTCTCTCTCCTGTGTTGTTTTGTTTTGCTTCTGTCTTGCCATTGAATCTCTTGCACTAAGTATAGCAGACATTCAATATTTATTGCATGAATGAATGGATGGATGGAGATGGCATTTGAGTAAGGTCTTGAGGTTGGGGAAGATTTCCATAGGATTCTGGGGGGCGGGGAGGGATGGTAAATGGAGGGAACAGCCTGAGTTGAAGCTGGAAAGCCCAGATTTGTAAATAAGGTTGGCAGCCAAAGGAGTTACTGAGATGGGCACAGGTGGAGAGAGATTTAACCAAAAGCTGGAAAGGGCTGAGAATGTGGGAGGAAGTAGCAGGGGGAGAAGTTTGCAGTAATGAAGGCAGAGTGATGATGGAGAAGGGATAAAGAGGCTAGTAGATGGCCCCAGGGTTCTGTCCTCAGACCTCAGCTCTCTTTGTTTTACAACCCAACATCCTTGGGCACTTCCTCAGCTCTAAGGTAGTTCCCACTCAGGCCTCTTTCTAGTCCTCTTCTTTTTCCTGAGTTCTAGAACCATCCAATGACTGAAGAAAGAGCCCTGGACTAATAAGAGAGAAAACTAGGTTCCAGTTTCAGCACTGCTAACAATTAACCATGAAACATTGGACAGGTCCCTTTAAACACATGCATTTATTAATACCCCACCTTGTTCCAGAAAGGATTTAGGGTGTCAGCAAGTTACTTATTATCAGGGCTTAAGTTTCCTCATCTCTAAATGACCCTCAATCTTGATGCTGCTGTCTGAGTAATATTCCTGAAGCATAGTTCTAACCATGCCAGTGCTCTGTGCTAAAATCTCAATGATTCCTAGCCACCTGCAGAAGACAAACTTTCTGGCTGATCACGGGAGACCCTTCCCGATGTGACTGTGTACATTGTCTCCCTCCTCTTCTCATGACCCCCATGTGCTGAGCCAACTGAACTACAACATGCCTTAAAGGTTCCTGCCTCAGCTTATCACCTGACCTACATTTTCCTGGCATCTTTGTCTATGGAAATCCTTGTGTGTCTTTAACTCTTTTTGAGGTCTTTTCCAGGTTCTATCATTTATTTTAACTACCTGGTAACTTGTTTTAGCTCACTCCACCCTGCATTAAATTGTCAGCTCCTCAAAGACAGAGACCATGTTTCATTTATCTTTGTTTTCTCCCCACCTGGCGCACGATCAGAGAAACTTGAATTGAGATAAATCAGGTTGAGACCCAATTCCAAAATCGCCTTCTCAACTCATAGTTATGGGTTTTTACAGCTGGAAATCATCTGAGCAAATCATCTCATTTTACA